CTTACAGTACTGCTCTCTCTACCAATTGATAAAAGACATGGGGGGGACACACTCCAAGCACTGAGGTACTGGGATAAGCAGAGTAATGAGCTACTCTGGAAAACAACATTTACCAAGTGCACAGAAACAGAAATTTCTAAATCACTGAACACATTTGTAATATAGCCCAAAATTTCCTATTTTCTCTCCTGAAGAGCTGGGCACCTCAGAGGTTCTGTTGAGCTGAATGCTCCTTTTCTGCTGCACTGCAGCTCTGTTTTGGACCACAGCACTGAGAGCAGCAGTGATGAAGTACTGCACAAAGAACAGATCAGCACTACAGCCTCATTCACTGCATCCTCATGTTAGGATTTTGCACCATCTTTCTGGATTCAGACTATGACTGGCAGCTAAAACTAAATTACAACTCACTTTCATAAATAGGAGCTTGCTCACTACAGGAAATAGCTGTACCCTCCAAAATCTTTGCACTTCATCTTGGGCTTGGACCTCATTATTCAACATTATTCCAGATCCAAGATCTGCAGAGGTACACAGAACTTTTCAGAATTATATTATTATTATTATTATTATCATTATATTATTACATATTATCACCAGATAAAGACAAGGAAAGCAGAAAACTAGAGAAATGTGAGAACTTGATCTAGTCAAGTTCTTTTAGATAAAGCACTTTTAAGATTTGTAGAAAGCACAAGTAAAATACCTCAAAAAATTGAAGTAATATCTGAAAGATGAATTTGAAAAGCAAAATAATGGCACCTACTTGGTACAGTTACAGAAGACTGAATGAACAGACATCTTTTTTTCCCAGGATGAGTGAATATATTCACCAGCAAAGTCTTGCAACCAGTTCAAAATGAGAGCTCACAACTCTTCACTGTGTTAATTTCTGCATCTCTGTAAATCTCTGCTCAGTTTTCGATTCCCTTCCTTTCTCTCTCCTTATGGTTTTCTTTTATCTGGTATTTCCACTGTTTAATGCACTTTCTAGCTGTGACCAAACAAATCTAAGGCTATGAACAGATGATCATAAATAATTAAATTACAACAGAATGACTATTTACAGCTCATGGCAAATGAGTCCCATTAACTGTGTGAACTCACAAACTTTACAGCTTTTGATGCAAAACACAGTACTTGAAAACACCTTCATGTTTCAAATGTTTAACATCAAAACACAAGAGCTGCAATTTAAAACAAATGCAACAAATAATTGAGAAGTTGGTGTACATCTCTCCCCCCTTGTTTCTCAACCCCAATAAACACAGATCTTTATCAAGAGAGGCTCATTGTCTATCTGCATATTCACACAATAAAACATGCTTTGTAGTGCAACTATCTGTCCATTTCTTATAATATATTGTGAGTGATACCTGTTAACTGGAACTTACAGAAAATCTAGGAAGGAGAACTTTTCCTTATCCATGTATTACTTTCTGCATGTTGTCAGTTTTTCTGCTATTCTCCATCACTTCTATTGGACTTGAAGCAAAAAAAAAGCAGAAAAGATAAACTATTTTTTGAAAAACAGAATACTTGATAGGAAAAAAAAGACACTAAGAGTGGCATTTAAAGCAATGTTAGCATTTAAAAACCATCTCACCTTTCTGGGTGATTATCCTCCTTAAAGAAATGCTGGCATACTCTTTCCATGCAGCCACAGCCTCTCCAGTAAATTCAGGACAACACGTTTTGTGTTTTGTTTGGGGGTTTCAGGTAGAGCAGAAAGGTTTTTCTTGCCTGATTACCCTTTCACTACTTACAGGTGTACATCAGGGGCAGGTTTAATGTGTCTCTAAACTGCAGTCGTTTTTTGGCTGCTTAGCACAGGGATCAGCATTGTCATCTAAATGTCTGACAAAACCAGCTCAAACTGTCCACAAAATTCCTTCAACAACATCAACAGACAGGAACCCACTGCCCTGAGAATTTGCTATGAAAAGGCAAAGACCTATCAAACTGCACAAAGACTTTTATTCCACTATTAAAGCCACAGGAATGTCAGCTTACATATATAGTCTATCTAACAAGTTAAAGACAGACTATAACTTTATTTCTTTTTCCTTTTCCTTCTCATTTCTTTCTTTTCTTGTGCGAGGGGTAGCTAGTGTGATGCCATCTGAGAGGTTCCAGGCACACAATGAGGTTATGACCCACCTATGCCTGATTGCCTATTACTATCAGCTTTATTAAAAGAAACATTCCCTGAGATGAAACAAAAAGCTCCCCTAGGTAGCAACCAGGTCAAATTTGTGCTAGGACCCTGGACACTTTGTAGCCTTAAAGAAGAAAAGGTAGAGGAAAACCTTGAATGAACCTTGGGGTGCACACAACTAAACCACTAAATCAGAAGGCTCCTTTCCTGCCCTCTTGTTCATATCTAGTCTGATGTCTCTCTTGCTTCCCCATGCAAGGAAATGGAGACTTATTGGTGAATGCTCAGAGCAACCAGGAACTTCTGACTGTGGACAATTATGTCATCCACCAGGACTGTGGAGAGATGCAGCTTGTACCAAGCACAGGCACATGCCAGAGCCTTGCAGTTAGAACAACTCCTGCTTGCAGATCTAGAACACCACAGCCACACAGAATACATGCAGGTCCATGCAGGCTGGCACCTCCCCTGACACTCTCTGGGAATGCAGAAGGTAACACATGGAGTCTGCAACAAAAGGCAGACTCCCAGGGAAAGGACTCTTATACTCTCTGCCATTAGCAGTATCTGCTGCTATCTCCACCCTCACTCTGCACTGGGGTACCAGACAGAGCCTCAGGCACAAAGATGGATGCTGGCAGAAACTACAGGGATTTTTGCCATTTTCTGCCACCTCCTCTGCTGCCCTCCCCACATCCTCCTCTTTGCACAAAAGGGAGATGTGGCTGCCAGTTCCTGTATCACACTGATCTGACCCACACTACCCCCTCCTCACTCAGATTGAAGCCAGTCCCAATTTACAAGGCCATGGGAAAGAAGTGACACCATGTTCAGAAAACCAGACATATCCCAACCAAGCCAGGAGGTGGCACAGGGATAGTGTTGTACTTTGCTGCTGGGCTTCTGAAGCTCAGCTCTGCTCCTAAATTGCTCAGGCCATCAGCTGTCATGGATGCTTCTGAAAGGAAGAAGCCACCATTCCCACAAGGCAGCTGAACACAGCCAAAATGCACTGGGATGTCCAAAACTTAAGCTCTAAACTTTCTTCAGAGAATGTACTCTACAGCTGGGAGGTGTGGAGGGCACCTACTTATTTTATTATTATTATTAAAATAAATAATTTTACTTATTCAGACTGACAAAGCTACAAAAGAAGTGTGAGTGAAGGGAAAAATCTCTACTGAGGAAAAGAATGACAAGCCTATTTCCATGCTTAAGATTGTAAAGCTGCTCAAATGGTTACAGTGAGAGACCTGTGCCCTTTGGCACAGTGAAGAACTGAGTTTCAGATCATAAAAATCTATAAAAATGCATATTTGAACTAAACTGGTATTGACTCAGCACCAAAATAGCCTGAGGGTTACACCTGCATACTCAAATTAATTTTCAAGTGCCTCATTTGCTATGCAGGGTATTTTATGTTAAGGTTGCACCGTACTTATATAACCTACTTGAAATGTATTTCCCCTTGTTTGGAGTAACAACTTTTTGGAGAAGTCTCATAAAGTCCAATTTGGAAAGAAATTAAAGGCAAGAGCCTTCCCCACGTCTTGCTTCCTGAGTACCACCCAGAATACCTGCTGAGCTGAGATCAAGCAGGTCTCTGCTGATTACAGAGCACAGGTTAAAGCACAGTGAGTTGTTAGGAAATGGAGGCTTGTAGAAAGCCTTTGAAACTCTTCAGCAGCGAGCATTCTACATGGCTGACTGGGCAGTGCTCTCCCTGGACCTCAGTGACAGGGGAGCAGCTCTGTGCTCAGTGGGACACCCAGGGAGGGCAGGCACCAGCACTCAGCCCATCTCTGAAGGATGTTAAACAGTGCTCTCATTCCTGACAAATGCATCTTCCTGAACACATCCAACAATTGTACCTCTACTCTCCTTCCTGCACACACCAGCAGTCCATCCCAGCACTTTGCTGCCCTCACTGCTCTCTGCTGCAATTCAAGCTTTTCACTTCTTGTCCTAAACATTATGGAGATCAATAACAGGCTGTTCCCTTCCTCACTGAAGTCTCTTAGAAGCTCCCCTCAAAGTCTCTTGCTCATGTGAAACACAGTTATTTCAATCAGTGCTCCACGGGAGGTTTTCTGAGCCTCTAATCATTCTCACTGCCTTCCTCTGGATTCTCTCCAGTTGACCCAAATCTTTCATAAAGAATTTAGTGCAGCAGTCCACCTACAGCCACTTCAAGCCTGAACCAGGCATAAGGATGACTTCTAATGTCCTGTAGGACAACAGGGCTACATAATCTGACATTGGGCTATGTTTGGGCAGATGCTATGAACTGATTACAACCTTTTATTGCAATAAAGCTGGAACCACCATTCTGTGAAAACAGGAGCAGTATGTATATACTGTGTACATTACCAAAGACAACATTCTCACATTAGCCAACGACACAATTCAAATTCCTGGGTGACAAGTACGTATCTGTCCTGGAATCAGCAGTAGCAGATATTATCTCTCAGTCAGGACATGCACAGTTCTGTACAAGAATCACATCAGCCAACTCTGGTCATCCTAAAACACCTTTCTTAAGGAGCCTTCACCAGAGCATTCTGCTTGTCTGATAGGCCAGGTATTTCATCTGTTTTTTCCTGAGATAAAGCTTCCAGACTGTGGTCAAACAGTAGCTTTGAACCACTTAAAACGATAAATAGCCCTAAACCAGCCCAGATCAGTGATATGAGAAAAGGTCTCTTCCATCCTGTGACAATGATTTTGCACAGAGTTTAAGGACAACTGGCTGCACTTCTCCAGCTTAAGGTTTCCTGTTTTAGAGGCCATGAAATTCCTGTAACCTAAAATTACATGACAAAACTCTGCCCCTTGTACTTACCCTTCTCTTTGGTACTCCTCATCCAAATTTGACAAAAGCTGGGACCCAGCCACAGACAGATCAAGTGCAGCTAAAGGCAGATCTCGATAAGCAAAATTAACAAGCTGCACAGGAGCAATGCTTTTGGTCTCTTCTTCCACTTGTTGGGAAATTATCTCAACTTCTGAAACACCACCTTCAATTGCAGGCCTGAAAACATAACAAACACACATATACACAGAAGAAATATAAATGAGCAAGCAAGTAAAAGGAAGTTAGAGACAAGAACTTCAGAGAATCCTAAAGAGCCAGCAACTTAAAAGGCCTCTGCAAGGTCATTAAGGAGGTGCTGTCATTAAAGAGGCAGATCAAATCTCTCCAAACTTTAGTCACATCTCACTGTGATCAACAGAAACCTCACAAAAGAGAACAACATTTCACTCTGCTGAATCTGCTTCAGAAGCACTAAATATAAATGGCTGTGTTAGAAACAAACAGAGAAAAAATGCATGAGCCCAAAAGGAAAATATTTATGCAAAACAAAAAGAAGGCATGTAACTATGCCAACTAAAGACTCATGGCTTTCTGAGTTAGATTGGTGAGCAATGAACAGCTAGGCTTTTTCACTGTTATATACAAATCAATTGTTAATACTAGGTGCAGTTAGACCTCTCTTCCACTGTAGATTTGAATGCTGATTCAAATAGCTTTGACAGATGGCAGCTTTGTTACATTCACCTAAAAAGGATCATTCTGTTACAAGTTATTTCAAAACAGTTCTGAAGGGGAACAGTGGTTCAGAAGAATTGTGGTCTCCTCCACAAAGATTATCTTAACTAGCCTTATGCACAGCTTCTGAATGTGATTGTGTATTCTTACAGCAGCCCACTATCACTAATGGAAACCCCACACAGGTAAAAACACTCTGACCATGTGCATGTCTCCCACATTTAGAACAAGGTTCTGCTTCTCTAGGGATCTATCTGTCAGCATTAGTGCATGCACACGATGCCTGTAGGACACAGCTGATCTTTGCAGCACCCAGCTAAGCTGCTTGCCCTGTCTGATTCCAAGGATGTGAGAGCACAGACTTCTCCAGCTTTCTTCCAGGGGAGCCAGGTAACTTTGGAAGAAATCTCAGGCTACTGTCACAGGTTTACAGCAGGTGTGAAGATACTCTCTTTTTTTATAGAGATATAGTTTAAAAGATCTTAGCACCCTGTGTTATTTGACTGCAAAAATTGCACTGTTGCTTTTATTTTAAAGAAGCTCATTAAAATCTTCCAGCAATTCAAACAACCTGATTAGCAGCTCCTTTATTTTCCCCAAAAATAACAAGACTTCTTTAGAAGACCACTTAACTGGTATATCTTGTATACAGATGAAAGAAATAAAATTCTATGTTAAAAGTTTCCATTGGTCAGAGTCTCACTGTTAGACTAATTCTTTCAGATGGAAGACATTATTCTTGAATTAAAAGGAGCTAACTGCTGCCAGAATTACCCAAGAAAGTAAAATGCTGTTATATGTAGAGTATTTGGCAGGGAAAGGCTGCAGCTGTGTCATACTGTGGCAGAAAAAGGAAGTACTATTTGAACAACCTAAAAGCTTTTATTTTATTCATGTGTAGTTAATAATGAAAAGTAATGAGATTCTTTAATTTCCAACAGAACTGTATTCTTCTGTAAACAACCTAAAATCAGAAGCCCAGAGGTGAAAGCTAATTTTAGCAAGAATTTTCTTTGATTTTCACCTTTATTGCCATCCTGTGGACATTTACCTTTATAAATCCAAGCTGGTTCAGTTTTGCATGAAAGAGCATACAATGATCCAATTTTAAGTATTACAAAACAAAAAGGAAATGGGTTGGTGCAACCTTAACTCTCCCAATAGTATTGAGTTTCTGTATTCTTAGACACACTAGATGACAGATAAAGTCTGACTGGATTGAAAAAAAAAAAAACCAAACAGATTGGTGATGGCAGACAGCTTTGGTGGCAGGGAAAAAGAAAGATAAACAGATCTGAAAATAACATAACAGACTAGCTTTCAGCCACTGCTGTTAGTAAGGTATCAAACATGCTTACAGCATCATTCATTCATGTATTTTCTGCTAATTCACACTCTTCAGACAAATACAAAACCTTCCTGAAATCACATCATTCTTCTCCAGGTAGCAGCCTGCTCCTTTTCATTTGAAGTAATTTGTGTCACATGGTACTTACTGAGGATTGGTCATGTTGGAGGATGCAACCAAATCAGCAGTGGCTCCAATATTTAACTACTTCCAGCTGCTCTGCATTAAAGTTCTAGCCTTGCAAGATTAGGGCTCTGTGAGAAGCAAAACAAGATTATCAAAAACACAGCTGAAAGAAATCCAAAGGGCTACACTGACTTCTGCTGTCATGCTGCAAATGTGTCCAATTCCCACCCCCCCCATGATTCTGTATCAAAGTGGTTTTATTCCAGGTTAATTCTTCCATATTATGGAAGCTGTAAAGTTACAGTGTATTTACTTTTACACACAGATACATATATAATTCTGTAAGAACACAGGTCTCCTTTGAAACCACTCAATTGTTGAGAAAATAACCAAGGTCAGAAGGGGAAAGAGATTTTCAGAGAAAGCTCATGGCTTCAAGAGCATAAATTCTATTGGAAAACAATTTTTTACCATTTTTATACTTTCTAGGCATAAGCATTAATGTTGTCAGTGAAGTTTGGGGGTTTCTTCTCCATTTTGCAGTTTGAACTGTTCCTGACTCCCTTTGCTATCTTAGGGAGTCTCTTCAAAAATTAAATCATGTTGTCAAACATTCTAGATGGGCTGTTATCAGGACAGTATTTTGATCAACAAAACCCAGTAACACATTTGGATAAGGCAAAGCCTCCACTTGTCCTGTACCTGGAGCAATACATGCCCAGCAGAGCAAAGGAAGACAAGCACGTGAAAATGAAACCCACTGATACACAGTAGGCTTTGGAAGCAGGAAAAATGAGGAATACTACACAAAAAACAAAAGCTCTTAAAAATCATGAGACACCTTGTGAAGCTATTGTGAAGATTAGATGCTACAAAATTTTTAAAAGTAACATAAAAACAGACTCTTGTTTTGATTAAACATCGGAAATAAACATCAGCAAATTAGAATTACTTACAAGAGCACCAATGATCACAAAAAATGCTCTTATACTAAACTTTACCCTAGAGTCACTTACAGGCTGAATTGTTAGTCAAGTATTTACAGTGGAGACATACAAATGCAGCTACATTAAGATCCTTAACAATCACTTCATACAAAAAAATAAAATTGAACTTACATCTTTTGTAGAGCCATTTTTCCAAGGCTTTATTTCATGTTTTGTAATTTTACAAAAACGCAAAATGTAGCCAATGCATTTTCACATTTTCCAGATAATGTGCCTGGGTATGCAAGAAAAAAAGTTCTACACTGTGATCAATCTCTTCAGGTAGGTAAGTAAGTCAAAAGCAATTTAATTTCATATGAAGAGGACAACTTTAAAACAAAAGACTACACATACTTTAGAAAGACACACACCTTCTATTTATTTATAATCTGGTAATACTTCTAAAGACAGAGTAAGAAGCAAATGGTTTTCAGATAAAGCTTTGCTAATACAGCAGAAACTTGATTTGATGTCCATTCAAGTCTCAATGGGAGTCTATCCCCTGGCCTTTGTATGCCTTTAATTATTTTATTCACTATATCCCTAAGGCAGCAAAATACTAAAACATTTGCCTAAAATTATGAATATTTCAATCAGAAAGAGCTTTCTTGATAGCAATTGTTGCACCTACCAGCACAACAAATCTAAAAGATAAGCCTCAGACTTGTTTTACAATGTTAGCTCCCTAACATCTCATTTTCAGTTGACATTTTTACAACACGAAACAACCCCAAACAATTCTGAATGAAAAATTTTACCCAAATCAGTTGTGCTAAGCACTCAGCATGAGAAAACGGCATGAGGTACTGTGCACCTGTCTGGTGAGACTGAGAAAACTGAGAATCCTGCTCTAACTGCATTTGCAGGCCTGGAGAATAAAAAGTACACGGGGATACAGCTGATTTAGGAAATGGGAATAAGGCTGATGGAAACTGGTCTTAGAGGACAGACAGGCAAATGCACACATGGAAGCTTCTTAACCTAGTAAAACCTCACCATTTATTGGGAGACAGCACAGGGCTGGCAACCCCAACCTCACTCCCAAAGGGGACTTAGAAAACAATGCAGTGACAAAAAGGCATCTAGATTTTAAGGAATCTTATTTTTTAGATTAATCCTAAGATTCTAGGGAACGTGCCAGGACACAAACATTAAATATTTGTCCCTCCAGAGCCGTCTCTTGCTTTCCCAGAGCTGGAAGTACATTTGCAATCACACAGAAGTGTGTTTTACAGCTCAGCCAGGGCTCTGAACTGGATGTGAGCAGCGGCAGCAGCACTAAGCCAGGCCAGCTCGCTCCTGCTGGAGCTGGCAGCTCTACAGGTGAAGTTTGCTCACCCTGGGCCCGAAGGAGCCGCTGGCAGCACGGCAGCAGCTCCTGTGCAGGGAGCAGAGTCCAGCTGGCACCGCAGGGATCGCTACCATGCCACAAGGAGCTCACCGGGCTGGGACGAGCAGCGCCGGGACACCCGAAACCAGAGGCGGGGACTCAGCTCTCCGAAGGACTCAGTGCAGCCCTCCTGGAACAAAAAGGGGCAAAACGTGAGTAACCGCGGGTAAAAATGACTAATGTGTGAGCTGATCTAACGAACTGAAGAGACAAGTAGAGTCAGGAAGTGGAGTAAGAGGGCAGAAAAGATGTAATAGGTTGTGTATATGTGCCTATCTCCTAAATGGATTACTGTGATTCATGCTTCTTTCCATGCTTTATGCAAGCAACAGAAATATCTTAACATATACTGGTATTCTGCAAAAACGTATTTTTTTACTATCCCCTCCACCTTATCTATCTGTTTTTACTTCCTTTAAAAAAAAAAATCACATTTTATAGCAACATAAACCACTTGCAACTTCCGCATGAAATTTCTGTGCAACTGAGTGGTATTTAAAGGCAGCAGGGATCAGCAGAGCAGTTTTATTCTTTTCAACTTCTCTCTTGCTTGCATTCCTATACGATTTGCCTGTAGGCAAAGTGGAATGATGTTACTCTTCTCCCTGCCAACAAAGATAGGGCAGAGGGCAACTTTTGGGCCATCCATCACCTGAGTGAAAATTTTTCCATGCAACCCTTTCTCCACCTAACACACTCAGTGTTCAGTAGACAAAAATGTCTCATCTCTCATAGTCTCGTCTAATGAATTACTAACAAGTCCAGGGTTTTTGGCTTTTCTCCCCACTTTGCAGAACTGAGAGTAGGCAGCACACAGCACTTGCTGAACTGCCACGTGAGCATAGGCAATGCCCAACCCCTGAGAATTCAGCAGTTCTGTTTGTTCCGTGGTGTTGTCCAGGGGAGATGGCTTTATGTAGCAGGAGCAGTTTCCAAAGTTGAACAGAAACAGTTTAGAAGGAAGACAGGACAGAAAGGGAAGAATTGTCCCACTAGTTGCTAGTGCAAGCTTCCAAGCAGTGTAACACCCAGAAATACTCACTGCACTAAATGACTGACATCTTGTACGTATCAAGAGGACAGTGCAATCTGATGGGAAGCATCTAAGTTTGCAGCTGGGAGCCCAGCTTAAAACGTGTGGGATCACAGCTCCAACCTCAGCCAGGCTGATCAGCTCCCCACCCCTCTGAAGGAAGCTGCACCCCAACCACTGAGCTCTTTCTGAGGAGAGATCTTCCAAATACTTAAAAGTGCCGTGCTTGCCTCGCCCTTCAGCTCTGCTGTTCTCTGCACCCTCACCACCCATGCCAGTGCTCCCCAAGGCTGCTGCAGCTGCCCTGGGGTTGAGGGTTGTGCTTTTCCCTGGACCCGCTCACAGCTCTGGGCTGTGCACGCACTGCGTCATGCGCTGCACTTGAGCAAAGGTTCCTGCTGCTGGCCTTGCCCAGCACACAGCCTGCCCTGGGCAATTTGTTAATGTTTACAGCAACCTTCTATTGTCAGTCACCACACCTTGGCCACAGCTTCCTAATAGCAGATAAAATCCAGCTGAAACAACAAAAAGCATAGAAAACAGTTTGGAAAAGGTATGCTAAAGCATAGCACAGCACATAGTGTACATATTCTAACCTAAAACAAAAAACAAAACTCCAATATCAAACTTAAAAAAAAAAAATCTATACTCCACTGGTGCATGAAAAGCATGGCTTTTAGCATTAATTTAAGCAGTCTTACAAAATATGTGTCACAATGCAGTGGGCCTAATTGGGGGTGGGGAGTAGGAAGATGATTTAATTTAAGCCTTTTGCACCCAAGTCCCTACTAACTTGTAGCCTATTAAGCTGAGCTGAAGCCAAGACAACATGATTCAGAGCTATTTGCTGCACTTGCTCGTGTTCTGAGGCATATTACCATGAATCTGTAAGCTCCTGTGCAAAACTCAGATGCTAACTGAAGTATCCAAGTTTGTGTCCTTGCAAGGTAGCTACAAAACCAAATTCTGGTACGTTCTTCTAATAAGTCCCCCAATAGCAGCTAAAGACCCTTGGACAGGCTCCGAGTTTGCACTCAAAGGAAATGCCACAAGCCCCACTTAAGGAGACACTGCTGTGGCTGAAACGTGGAGTTCTGTGTTCTTACCAGCTCCAGCTCCTTCCTCTGCCCACACCCCATCCACTAAAAAAAAAAAAAAGCAGGATGGCTTCCCTGATGCAGGTCATAGTACAGCTCCAAAAATAGTTGTGTCAGCAAAAGTGAGAGTGCAGGGCAAGGCGTTGTGCAGAGCCAAAGAAACCAAGCACACAGAGCAGAAAGACATGATCAGAAATATTGCAGGACAATGTGCAGAGCCCTGGCCATTGGCAATAACCAAGTGGAGCAAACAGCAGCATGAGATCACTGGAGAGAATGGGGAACGGGTGCAGAGGAGGAGGGCTGCTGTGGGGGCTTTTCTCTTTCTGGGTCACACTGGAGCATTTTACTCTGAATCTAGTCTGCATTAAGAAAGAGAATTCTGCTTCTTTGTGCAAACAAGTGACATTCTTATTTCAGTCTATAAATTGAAAGCAGTGTACACTTCAAAGCATAAATGCAAATGGTGGCTACTCATGTGCCAGCTGGGCAATCCTAAGCAGGTCAGGGAGCTGCTCAGAAAAACAGGAAGAAAAGGAATAATCTGAAATAAGAGTAATAAGAGTAGGGGAAACACCTAAACAGACATTACCCCAGAAGCTTTCAAAGCCAAACTGCAGGAGTGATTTATACATTTAGCTCTTGTGAATTAGCCAAACCAAATTTTTTTGGTGAACACCATGGATATCATCCTGAGGATCACCACGAACCTGATGTGATCACTCATTGCTACTACTACTGCAAGTTGCATTTCTTCAAGAAGTGAAATTCCCAAGTACCCTGGGATCACAACTGCTTTTGTCCTGAGAATTTTCATTAGCTCCAATCATCTGCACTTTGAGAATTTTGTTGGTCATGTATGCCAAAACTGTTCCTTTCAGGAATCCAGCAACTTGTACTTCTGAAGGGGAAAAACTGACAAATTTGCAGGCATGGTTCCAGCACTTCCTTGCTTTACTCTGGGTTAAACAAAATTGGCTTTTCTTTTTTCCCCAACAGGTAAAATCACAGGTTATGATATTAAAAAAATTTCTTTTGATTGAACTGACGCTCCCTAATGCCTTGTGTAAGACAAGAATTTGATAAAGTATTAGATTAGTAAAAAAATTATGAATTCAGAGATGCCACACAGAAAACAAAAAGCAAATTAACTTCCTTAATCTTTAACATTCCTATGCAGTGTCCAAAAGAAAAGAGGCACAAAAGAAGGAGCTTTTTATTTCAAGGAAGAAGGGACATTGGATTTTGCATCTTTTTCATGGAGGGATTGACAGCAAAGTTTTTAAATACACCAATTAAAAAAAAGGGAAAAAACTCCTCCATCACAGGAAAGGTATTTAGATTAGGGAAAAAAAAAAAAAGTCAGGCATTCACAAATTAGGAAATGCCAGATTTGCACTTGCTCATGCAGTCATAATTCTATCCCCTTGTGGAATCATCCTGTATGCTGAAATTAAGCACAACGCTGTTCAAGGAAAAAAAAAAAAAACAGCATGTAATCATGTAACTAAAGACCCTCATTATTCCTAAGTGTAACTAACACTTTCTAGAGAGAAGTCTAGATGGGCCAAAAAAGAGAAAAATTATCTTGTGCACAATTACAATAATCTCTTCACAAATGCAATGTGATCATTAGTTGAATCCTGAACATTTCAGTACTGCAGATCTGGACTACAGAACAAGTAGCAGTAGCTGGAATCAAGCATTTAAAGCAGGATTAATCCAAGCCAGAATCAGGAGAGCCC